TTTATTGAATGAAAGCAAAAAATGTCGGAACTGACATCAAATTTTCGAATAAGTTTAGATTTGTTCGAATTGATCACCTTTGGCAGGAATTATGGGCTTCAAACAACCAATGAAACCGTCACATGCTGCCCGAATGTTGCTCTGCAGTATTTTTGCCCATTCCCGGCGAAGCGCTTGCTTGAGGTGATCGACACTTTGGTGCCAACCTTGCTTTCCAAAATACTCCAGACACAATAGTCCAAGGGATTCGTATTCGGAGATTTTGGTGGCCATTGTGCGCTGGAAATGAACCGAGGAACCTCGTTTTGTAACCATTCTTGGGTGGCGCGTGCTGAGTCCTGTTGCAATGTCCAAGGTCTGCGGCCAAAATATTTGCGTGCCCAAGGCTTTAATACAACCTCTAGAATATTTTCGCGATAATATTCGGCATTTATTCTGATGCCAAGGTCGATTAGTACGAGCGCAGAGCGACCATCGGCTGTTGTGGCGGCCCACACCATCACCATGGCCGGCGCTTGAGTTCTGGTGGCCAACCGAAGGGGCACATTTGCCTCTTTGGCAAGTAAACAGATCATTTTTATACCCTCCACCTTGGAAAGGAGGGTATATTAACTTTGTCATTCCGTTTGTAACATCCTTAAATATTCGTCTTAGACCCCATAAAGTATATATATTCATAATCAGCATAAAATTCTAAGTCGATTTAACGATGTCCGTCTGTCTGTCTATCTGTCTGTTGAAATCACGATACAGCCCACATTATTTGACGTAGAGCTCCAAAATTTAGCAGAGCTATTTGCATTGTGTCTAGGATAGTTGGTATTGAAAATGAGATATATCGGTCCACGTTCTGGTATAGTCCCCATATAACGGTACCTCCCGATATTCGGTATTTTGATGATTTATGCCACGTTTTTTCACGGATTTGTCTTAAAATTGGTATTTGTAGGTCATAGCAGGTCCCTGAGCGTGTGGCGAAACATTGCATGTATGGGTCCATGATTTGGTATAGCCCTCATAAAACGGTACCTCCCGATATTCGGTATTTTGATGGTTTTTGCCACATTTTTTCACTGATTTGCCTGAAAATTGGTATTTGTAGGTCATAATGGGTCCTAGTTCGTGTGGCGAAACATTGTAATTATAGGTCCACGTTTTGGTATAGCCCTCATATAACGGGACCTCCCGATATTCGGTAATTTGATGATTTTTGCCACATTTTTTTCACGGATTTGTCTGAAATTTGGTATTTGTTGGTCATAATTGGTTCCAGCTTCGGTGGCGAAACATTGCATGCATGGGTCCATTATTTGATATAGCCCTCATATAAAGGTACCTCCCGATATTCGGTATTTTGATGGTTTTTGCCACATTTTTTCACTGATTTGTCTAAAAATTGGTGTTTGTGGGTCATAATGGGTCCTAGTTCGTGTGGCGTAACATTGTAATTATGGGTCCACGTTTTGGTATAGTCCCCATATAACGGTACCTCCCGATATTCGGTAATTTAACGATTTTTGCCACATTTTTTCACGTATTTGTCTGAAAATTGGTATTTGTAGGTCATAATGGGATCTAGCTCCGTTGGCGAAACATTGCATGTGTAGGTCCACGATTTGGTAAAGCCCCCATATAACGATACCTCCCGATATTCGGCATTTTAATGATTTTTGCCACATTTCTTCTAATGTTTCCTTTACCCTAAGGTGGAGGGTATTAAAAGTTTGGCCAGACCGAACTTAATGTTTTTTTACTTGTTAAAATTTTCTTTAGAATGTAATCTATGTGTGTATAGAAGACTTCCAGATGTCCTCTTGCTGAAAGGTACCTTTTGAAGGTCTCTTAGTTGAAGAAGTCCATTTTCTGGACATTTTCTGAAACTTAAACCAATTCAATGCCGATTCTTCGGGTTTTCAAATGCATTATCTATCCTCAGCTTTGGAAACCGAGTTTAATTGAAGTGAAGAAAAAAATCCATACAGACGTCATGCCGTTTAAACACAACGTCGTGACCCTGTTAATACATTCGAAAACGTTTTAATTATTTTGTTTGCGATAAGAAGTCGCCCATCGATTTGTTTTGTATTTGAACTTAACGGCTTTCGATTTAAGGTGACAATGAAGTATGTGGCGATAAGAACATTGGCAATGTGGACTGCCGCTAGCTAATTTGGTTAATTGGAGATTTATAGACTCGGTGACCCACAGTGTGATAAGGTGAGGGTGCAGAGTCAATATCAATGTCAGGGAGAATGAAAATAATTGAAAATTTTTTAAAAGTAATGTCTAATTTTTTCTCTGTTCCAGAACATCCAAGAATGTACTATTTTTACAATTGTTTTGAAAGATAAAGACTAGGTTGAACGGATGAAGCTGGATTTTTGAAATTTTGTACTTGAATCCCTGTTAGTGGAAGGTTTGTGATAAAAAAGGTTGTTTTGGGTGAGATGAAAAAACTGCAATCAACTTCGGACTGCTGTCATTTTTAAGCCACTCGTCCGACAGCTGTTAAACTTATTCCAGTGACAGCTCATTATATTGTTTACAAACGTACAAAAGCATTTTGTTGAGAATTTTTAAGAAAAAAAAATATTCCTGATGGAATTCAAGCGTGATGTTGGTTTCTTTATATTTGGCTGGAAAACCACAAATGGCTATCGTTAGAGCAATGCAATGTGAATAAATATTTTGTCTCGTGCCATCGCGCGTAGCCCGACGTCAAGGAAGTGGATGGAAGAAAACAGCAACATCAGCAGAAATGGTTCGAAGAGTAAAGAAGCGATTTGATCGAAACGCGCGTCGCAGTGGCCGAAAAATGGCCAATGGCTCGTGAGCTGAACATATCGCAATATTCCATTCGGCAAATATTGAGAAATGAGTTCGGTGTAAAGCCATTGAAATTCCAAAAAGTGCAAGAAATTACGTCCCGCACAGAAAGAAAATAGACTCAAACGAGTTAAATAGTTGCATCGCAGTGATGAACTGCCGAATTTGGTTTTCTCCGATGAGAAAACATTCGTTGTCCAGCAGTGTTTGTAAACAAACAAAAAAAAATGATCGTGTTTACTGGCCAAAGAGGTCAGCTGAAAAAGTACACCTTCGGTTGGCAACCAGAACTCAAGCGCCGACCATGGTGATAATATGGGCCGCCATAACAGCCGATGGTCGCTCTCCACTCGTACTAATACACGTTTCATCAGAATAAATGGCGAATATTATCGCGAAAATATTCTGGAGGGTGTATTAAAGCTTTGGGCACGCAAACATTTTGGCCGCAGACCGTGGACATTCCAACAGGACTCAACACGCAGCACGCGCCACCCAAGAATGGTTTCAAAATGAGGTTCCAGCGCACATTGGTAACCAAAATCTCCGGATACCAATCCGTTGGACAATTGTGTCTGGAGTATTTCGGAAAGCAAGGTTGGCACTAAAAAATACCTCAAGCAAGCGTTTCGCCGGGAATGGGCCAAAATAGCGCAGAGCAATATTCGGGCAGCGTGTGACGGTTTCAATGGCCGTTTGAAGACCATAATTCGTGCCAGAGGTGACCAATTCGAACAAATGTCAACTTATTCAAAAATTTGATGCTATTTACAACGTTTTTTATTTTGATTCATTTAAAACTTAAAAAAAAACAAAACAGGTTAAAAAGCAGTAAGTTCGGCCGGGCCGAATTTTGAATACCCTCCACCATTGGGAACGAAAAAAAAAATTAAATCCGTTAAAAATTCTATTAAAATCTTAAAAATACCGAATGCAGCCGTTATATTGGGGTCTATACGACGACGTGGACATTCATAGGTAAATTTTGTCATAAGCCATTAAAATATTCAAATACGAAACTCGAAAAAAAAATCCGGTGAATAATGTTGCTAAAATCATCAATGTTCCGAATATCGGGAGGTACAGTTATATGAAGGCTTTACGAAGAGGTGGACCTGCACAGACAATTTTCTGTCTTAGGCTGTAGTATCCATTGCGAATTTCAAATACCAAATTTGAAACAATTCTGGCGAAAAAATGTGCATAAAATCATAAAAATACCGAATATCAGGAGGTACCGTTATATGGGAGCTCTACGAAGATGTGAACCTGCACAGACAATTTTCTGTCTTAGGCTGTAGTATCCATTACGAACTTTAAATACCAAATTTGAAACTATTCCGGTGAATAATGTCGCTAAAATCATCAAAATACCGAATATCGGGAGGTGCCCTTATATGGGGGCTGTACCAAAACGTGGACCTACATGGCCCATTTTCAATATCAAAAGTTCTGCAGACATAACATACATTTAAGCAAAATTTTATCAATCTACTTCAATTCGTTCGGAAGCTAGAGGTACATATATATGGTTCCGATACGATGACCTGGACCTTCATAGACAATTTCCTGTCATAGACTGTAGTTCCCGTTACGAACACTAAATATGTAATTTGAGACTGCTCCGGTGAGCAATGTCGCTAAAATCATACCGAATATCGGCAGGTACCGTTATATGGGGGCTATATGAAGACGTAAACCTGCATAGAGAATTTTCTGTCTTAGGATGTAGTATCCCTTTGGAACCTCAAATACCAAATTTGAAGCAATTCCGGTGAATAATGTCGCTAAAATCATCAAAATACCGAATATGGGGAGGTGCCGTTATATGGGGGCTATACGAAGCCCTGGACCTGCATAGACAATTTTCTGTCTTAGGATGTAGTATCCATGGCTTCATCATGTCTGCAAAATTGTAGTCTTCTATCTCGATTCGTTTGAAAGATAGCGTGATTAAAACAGACAGACGGACATCGCTAAATCGACATAGAATTTTACGCTGATCAAGAATATAAATTCTTTGTTGGGCCTTACATGGGTATTTCGATTAGTTACAAACGGAATGACAAAGTTAATATACCCTCCATAGAATGGTGGAGGGAATAAGAAGCAACCAGCTGTTACCAAGCAACAGTACCACCAGTCGTTGATGAATTGCACTCCTTCCTACCTACCTTGTTTGTTTGCGAACTTCTGTGAAGGTATCATCTTCGTCCCCGGACGCCTCGGCTATTTGGGCACTATTTCCGTTGACACGACTTTTGTATTCACGGTGGGAGTGGTGGCGATCGACTTCGTCGTTGGGAGTACCGGTGGGTGGCATAGTGGAAGTGTGTTTTTGTTATTTATTTTTCTTGTCTTTTTTTAATTTTATTACGATTTGTTGGCTTTGAAAAAACCTTTTTAATTTGATCACAGAAATTTCTAGAGGTATTTTTCTTTGGTTTGTGTTTCACTTTTTTTTTAGGCTGGCTTCACATCAAAGCACAAAACTTAGCGCAGCTACAATTTGCGACAGTTGTTCGGGCCAAAACAATAAATAAAACGACACAGTTATTAAGACCGGATGATATGAACACGTCAACGTCTAAATATCGACTGATGGGTTTCAGCGTTGCCAAATGATCTTTTATTGAACAAAACAGAGAAAAAACGTAAACAGTACACAACAGCTAAACAGTAGACTCGAAGCGAGTAGCTGTGAGTCCGAGGGATGATGAGAAAGGTGGGCAAAACAACAACAGTAACAGCAACAGCACCACAATACAATACCCAGCAAGCAAAATCTATCCCCCAAATCACTTTGAAGTCACGCCTAAGCGATTGAAATCATCGCGTCTGATATCGCTTTCTCACCACGGAAGGATCATCCTTCGGGAAGAGATGAACCACGCCCGCGATAGTTTTCTAAAAATCGTGGAAGTCACTTCCTCGATAGTTATTGGAAGTGAAAAAAAAAAAAAAAAAATTTACTCCAGACTTAAACATTTATTATTTTTTTATTGTTATTGTTACGTTTTCCAATGTTAATTTACATAGAACTCTTACTTATTAGATGAAATATTCAAACATTTTTTTTTTTTCGTTTTAAAAATGTGATGTCTGGATTGGGAATCGAACCGAGGTGTTCAGAGAGCAAAGCTGGCATGCTTACCACTGCGCCACAGTGTCTTATATTCCTCAGATAGAATAAAGACTTATTTATGTTCAATTCGTGAATGATTGTAAACTATCACTGTTTTATCCGATGGCAGTCACTACATAGTGTCTGCACACGAGATACCTTCTTTTAACTTTCTTGCGCCACTACGTAGTAACTACGTGACGATAGAAAGTAGACAACAGTAGTTTTGTTATTGTAAATGTACATACTATCGCATTTATTACGATTAGAAGCGTCGCAGAAGTGGCATCTTAAAATGGAAGTGAGTCACTCACTTCCAAATGCTTGCTGGGATGCAGGCAATAACAATGGCAAAAGCAAAACAGAAAAAAGTGAAAAAAACAATAACAATTTAACTCACACATACACACACACACACGTGCATGGTATGTGTGTAGAAATAGCCAAGTATTTGCTGCTCTCAAATTTTTAAAATACTCAGCAGATGCTATTTGGATCTTTCAGATACTGCATTCCACTCATAGGCCATATCAAAGCGCAATAACAAGGAGTTCCAGCCAATAGTGAAAATCAGGGACCAACTCTAGAATTCGATATGGAAATAATTATGATCGAAATGAAAACGAAAATATAGGTAGAAGCAACTGGCGTTAACTCGAACATACTTTGATCGAAACCTTTTCAATATCAAATGAGAGAGAGAGAGAGAGAGAGAGAAGACTAATGTTTATACCCTACACCACAAGGTGGTCAGGGCATTATGTCTTTGTGCATTTGTTTGTAACAGGCAAAAGGAAACGAGATAGACCCATAGTTCCTCTTGATGATCTGCATAGAATCACATTCTGAGTCGATTTATGCATGTCCGTCCGTCCGTCTGTCCATGTATTTTTGTAAACAACGTACAGGTCGCATTTATTGCCCGATCCAGATGAAATTTTGCATAGATCATTTGTTTGGCCCAAGGTCGAACCCTATTGAAATTGGAGATAATCGGTCAAAATTTAGATATAGCTCCCATATATATCTTCGTCCGATTTATCTTTTATTGTGCATCCAACGTGTAATATCAGCCCGGATTGTATGGAATTTTGCATATACACCCAGATTAGGCCTGAAGATAAGTATGCCAAATTTGATCGAAATCTGTACAGATATAGCTATAGCTCCCATATATATTGTTCATCCGATTTGTTATTTTTGTCCTCCACAGCCGTAATATGCACTCTGTAACAACAATATTTGGGGAAATATATCATATGCAGCTCAGAAATACATTTGCTAGATTTTATCGAGATCGGTTGAGATTTGGATATAGCTCCCATATATAACTTTGTCCGATTTACCTTTGATTGTGCACCAAACGTCTAATAATTGTCCAAATTGGATGAAATTTGGCACTTACGACCGAATTGAGTCTAGAAGCTAGTATGTCAAATTTGGTGAAGATCGGTTTAGATATAGCTATAGCTCCCATATATATTGTTCATCCGATTTGTTATATTTGTTACCCACAGCCGTATTATGCACCCCGTAACAACGATATTCAGCGAAATATATCAAATGCAGCTCAGAAATATCTTTGCCAAATTTTATCGAGATCGGTTCCGATTTGAATATATCTCCCATATATATCTTTATCCGATTTCAAATAAATTGTGCACCAAACGTCTAATATTTGCCCAAATGGGATGAAATTTGGCACTTACGACCGAATTGAGTCTAGAAGCTAGTATGTCAAATTGGGTGATGATCGGTTCAGATATAGCTATAGCTCCCATATATACTGTTCATCCGATTTGTTATATTTGTTACCCACAGCCGTATTATGCACCCCGTAACAACTATATTCAGCGAAATATATCAAATACAGCTCAGAAATGTCTTTGTCAAATTTTATCGAGATCAGTTCCGATTTGGATATAGCACCCATATATATCTTTATCCGATTTCAAATTAATTGTGCACCATATGGGCAATACAATTCCGAATTTAAAAAATACAAATGCTTCGGCATATTTAGTCCTTTGAACTTTAAATTATAATCATAGCGTGAATGATTGAATTCTCCCATAAAAACTTTTAATTGTTATGCGGAGCTCTACTAAATTAGCAAAGTGGTGTAGGTTATCATAAAGTCGGCGCCGCCCGACTTTAAGACTTTCTTTACTGGTTTTTTTAATTCTTTATCTCTCAATTTTGCATTCTAACATTATATCTGATGATCAGCTGTTCTCGTTGAGGAACCCGTGGTTCATTTGTCTGTCTTCAAAATACTCTCTTCCTCACACACATTCGCACACAATTCAATATGAATGTCTAAAATGCAAAATTTACATTTTGCACAGATGGGCAGGTAGATTTCTGAATTTGGTATAACCACGTGCTTCACTCTCCCTGAGATGATGATGTAGAGTAAGAGATTAAATTAATTTCGAAATTCTCTCTCATATCTGTATGAGCAACATAGAGACTACCTTGCGAAATTAATGTTACAGTAAGTGTCCAAAAAAGGTATACAATTCAATAAGTTTGAAACTCGGCTTCGGGTTATAACGGTTCAACTTTTAGAATATCTAGATATATATAAAAGAGTAGTGAAATAGCTGACCTAGAATCAAACAAAACGGCTGAAGCTAGACTGGGTTTTTGGAAATTCGTTCTAAAGGGGTACGAAAAGTTTTTTAAGGAATGAGAGTCACTGATGAAGTATAAGGTTACGAAAAGTACTAAAATGGTGCCATTTGGTATTATGTGTACTATAATTGTACGAAAATTACGATCGAAGGGGTTGAGATAAAATTCTGAAATTTGTTATTTAGATTGCTGATGGTGTTTGTGTTTGAGATTTGGCGGTGGTTTGGAAATGCGTCAAAAATTTGTACGAAAAGTACTAAATTGTACTAAATTTGGTATTGGGTGAAGAGATGGGGCTGGAATCCTCAAAATTTATTTAGAGGTCTTTTGGTATATAAAATTGAAATATGTAGGTATATCATTATTTGTGTATCATAATTGTGCGGAAAGTATTAAATAGTACTAAATTTGGTATTGGGGGTAGAAATAGAGCTGAAATCCTGAAATTACATATGGATGTCACTGTTGGTGTCTCTGGTTAAGATATGGAAATGTGTAATATAATTGCTCGAGAAGTACTAAGTGGTACCAAATTGGATATTAAGTGAAGGGTTAGAGCTGAAATTTTGAAATTGTGTGTGTGTGCTATCTACGAAAAGTACTAAATAGTATTAAATTTGGTATTAGGTGAAGGAATTGTGCTAAAATCCTAAAATTTGATAAAGATGTTAGATTAGGGTCTGTTCATTTGCAGTCTGGAAATATGGAGGTGGTTTCGGAAATGTATACTATAATTGTACGAAAAGTACTAAATGGTACTATTCTTGGTATTGAGTGGAGGGATAGGGCTGGAATCCTTAAATATTATATTGAGGTCTTTGTTGGTATCTGTAATTGAATTTGGAGTTGGGTGAAGGAATAGAGCTGAAATCCTGAAATTTGATTTTGAGGCCTCTGTTGGTATCTGGTATTGAGATATGGTTGTAGTTTTGGAAATGTGTGCTATTATAGTACGAAAAGTACTAAATTTTGTAATTGGTGTATTAGTGGAGCTGAAGTCCCGAAATTTGATGTTGATATCATAGTTTGGTACTGGGTGAAGGGATAGTTCTGAAACGATGAAATTTTACTGTGTAATATTTGTTGTTGTCTAGGATTGAGATATGGAATGAATTTACGAAAAAATGCTAACATTTTATGAAAAGTACTTAATGACACTAAATTTAGTATTTAGTGAATGTATAGAGCTGGTACCCCGAAATGTGATATAACTGTTCGAAAAGTACTAAATGGTAATAAAGCTCATTTCTAATCGGACGAGACGGCTTCAATTGACGTGCATTGGAAGACGACATTGAAGAGTTTCGTCGTGAGATACCGGACGAAATGTTGGAAATAATATGCCAAAATTTTACTGAGCGGATGTACCATTTTCGGGCGCAGTTGCGGTAAACGTTAGCTTCAAATAATATTCAAACATTTTATTATATTCGGTATTTTAATTTTTTTGCCACATTTTTTCACGGATTTGTCTAAAAATTGGTATTTGTTGGTCATAATGGGTTCCAGCTACGGCGGCGAAACATTGCAGGTATGGGTCCATGATTTGGTATAGCCCCCATATAATGGTACCTCCCAATATTCGGTATTTTGATGATTTTTGACACATTTTTTCAAGAATGGGTCCCAGTTCGTGTGGCGGACATTGCGTGTATAGGTCCACGCTTTGGTATAGCCCTCATATAACGGTACCTCCCAATATTCGGTATTTTGATTATTTTTGCCACATTTTTTCACGGATTTGTATGAATGTCATAATGGGTTCTAGCTCCGTTGGCGAAACATTGTATGTATAGGTCCATGATTTGATATAGCCCCATAAAACTTTAACTCCCGATATTCGGTATTTTGATGGT